ACTATTACAGTTTTAAATTCTTTGCACGAATATATATATCTTATAACAATGTTAAAACAAAAATAAAACATTCACAAACAGATTAAATATGTATCTATAATTATAAAATAAGAGTGAGAGAGGAGATTAAATACGGTGAGATTTACGAAGATTTCTGAGAGAATAATCATCAAGATAGCGAACTTCTTTTCAAAGTTGGCTGTCCGTAAACGAAGACTCTGTAGTGAAGGCCTCGCGAATATTTCGATCTGAATTTTAGCTTGACAAAATCGTGTCCGATTCCGCCGGAAGTGATCCATATCGCGCTGTTATCTTCATCAGACAACGAGTTGTATCTTATGCATGTGATTCTCACGTCCGTCGGACCGTAATCCGCCTCTACTTCCTGGTTACAATCGAGAAATGTATTCGTGAATAGATCGATACAACTGTCAATAGCTGACACATGTCAAGAAAGAGAAAGAGTTGAAATCCGACGTTAGAAAATTCAGCGATTCAACAAGACCACAAGGATACGTTGTGATAATCGAAAACGCACTTGATAACCACCGGTTCGGTGCGGTCTTCTGACGTCATACTCCCAGATCAGCTCGTCGTCGTCGACATCCTTTTGACAGTCCTCGACTTGTCGCGCGATCGCGAGCGAGACAGCGCAGAGAAGGAAAATCATCGGCGATTGGAATCGCATGTCTCCTCTCAATTTCCTTCGCCGCGAGAAAGGATAATACGACAATTATAAATAAATAAAGAGATACCGACTATTGAAATAGAAAATATACAATAAATATTCTTTACTCGGTGCGATCTTTTCGGATATTTCCGGGGAAAGACAGCGCGTTTGTATCGTCGAGCGACTGGAGACTCCGAATAACACTAACCGGAGCGAACGATATTAATAGCCGATACATCGACCCACACCGAAAGTATTCCCTTCGGGGGTACAATATTTATTCGTCGCGTTGCATACGTTATGCCGGGGAGATTAGATACAACGGTGGTATCGTGCGAGGCTGCTTTGACGCGTTGTTTTAAGGCGAGATATAGAAAGAGAAAAAGAGAGAACGAATATGGATGAGGAGAGTCTCCTCCCTATTACGTAACACACATTCAAATTTGCATGTGCATCATGAATTCCGTGACGAGCGTTCGAAATGATTAAGCTCGAAAACCGCGAGTACACAAAACGTCGATTAGACCAGTTAGAGTTAGA